TTATTTGATAATAAAATTATGTATGAATAACATGAGGTATTTGTAGAGAATGTGGGAATTATGATGAATCAGGATAGAAGAATGGAAAATGGGAGGAACCGCATTCCTACTACTTAGAGTTTTAGAATGTATTATTTAAATTTTAATAATAAAGTGACTTTAATTGGTACTTAGGAAAATGGAATAAAAATTGGAAATTGGGAACTAAAATCAGAGGATTATATTTTGTATTAAATTTAATTTTTTTATATTAGTGGTGGAGGAGCATTTGATGCAAATGGTTTAAAAATTTCAAAATGGATAGATTTACATCATTTATCAAGGGAGTATATATTTATAAATATTTCAAAGATTCAAAAAAATCATATATATTAAATAGAACATTATTAAATAGGAAAATAGGTAGGATTATTTCAAAGAATTCATAATAAAAATGTGATGTAATTAAAATTTCTTATTTTAAGTGAAAATGGTTAATTTAAGGAAAATGGTCTGAAGGATGGTAAATGGATGGATTAACCAAATTACAATGAATAGTATTTAAATATTTTATATCAGTTAACAAATATTCTATAATGGAAAATATAAAAACGGTAGCAATTTTGGAAAATGGGAAACTATTTTTAAATAATAAGTTATGTAGGGTTTCTTTATTATACTTAAAGTGGTGGAGGATTTTACAATCAAAATGGACATAAAGATGGTTTTTGGATTGATTTATTGTTATTATTTAATGGGTATAATAAAACATTGTTATTTAGTGAAAAATTAATTATATTTGCTGGATCATATGTAAATGGTAAAAAAATTGGAAAATGGGATATAATTTCCAAAGAAAACAAAATGTAAAATTTTTATTTAATTATAGAGGTTGTGGTTCATACTCAGACTTTGATACCAAATAGGGTTTATGGATAGAATTCAGCTCATCTTATGACGAGTAAAATTTAATTTCATAATCAGTATTAACCAATTTTTAATATCTGAAAATTATGAAAAAGGCAAAAAAATTGGAAAATGGACAGAATCAAGAAACTAAGAATATTTGTACTCTTTATTAAATAATTCTTAGTAATGAAATAGAATATGATAAATGAACATAAAATAGTTTCTTGTGCATGAACAATCATAAAAAATAAATTATAAAATTATTTCTATTAATTTCAATTTCAATTTCCAAAGATTTTTATTTAACTTATTAATTTCTAATAGGTTAAAATCACTATCATTATTTATACAGTTAAGCTTTTGCTCCTTTTATTAATTTAAAACTTCTCTGTTTAAAAACATTATTAATCATAACTATATTTAGTTTTCCTATTCCTTCATTTGAAAGGATTTATCAAATTATAAATTTATAATTTCTTATGAATTTAATTTTAAGAGTCGAGCCACTGTAAACTATTTTTTATTCGTAGAATAATTAATTATAATAATATTATAATTACTTAAATTATCTTATAAATATTACCTATTCTACTTTAATTATTTTAATAGTCTTTTAGAAGAGTTAACATAGAATATTTCAAAAATAATAGAAACAGATTCTTTTAAATTATTAATCAGAAATTCTTACAAAAGAGTATTAAAAATTTTTGAATAGTAAAGATATATCAATAAGATTTTGATTATAATTGAATTTCTCTCTTTAATGAATAGCCAAATTTCACATTTTACGAATATTTAGGCTTAAAAATAGCCTTTTTATTAGATAAATTTAGGAGTATGTAGAGAGTAAATAGAGTCAAAATTGACTGGATGATCAAAAATTAATAAATTTATTGACTCAGTTAATTTAAATATATCAATTAGCTCCAATCTAAAAGAAGACAGCATTTTATTATGTAAAAGTGCCCTAAATTAAAAGAAGATTGATATTAAATGATAGTTTAATGAATCAATTTGAGAAATAATAAAATTAAAATTTTTATGAATCTTAAATTTTATCTTAATGAAGAACTTTAAGAGAAGTAGCTAATTCGTTGAACATATTGATTAATCTACGAAAAAGGTGGATATGATGTTTATAAATGAAAGATTATTATTTATTTTATATATTTTAATTTAAAGATTGTTTACTATTTTATGATTATTTTTCAAAATTTATAATTTATAAGTAAAACATGAAATTAAATATTTTTTGTGAGTTTTTTTTGTTATTTATAAGGATCAGAGATAAATCGATTAATTAAAAAAATATAATAATTAACATTTGTTTTACTTATAAAATCAGTAAGTATAAATCCTGAAAACAAATATAATTATATAATTTTGATGTAATATTTATATCTTATCATTTCTTTTTTTTCTATTCTTCATTAATAGCCCCTTTTTATTTGAATAACTATAAAAGAGACTTGCCTTAATTATCTATAATAGTAGTGGATGGGTTTATTATACAATTCATGGCTTAAATTTGAGGTTATTTAGAAAAAATCTTATAAGACATAGCTCCTACAATTTCTATTTCTGTTTCTTTAATAGTTTTTGATTTTGAAGTATTTTTATTTTTGACCTAAATATCAATGTTTTTCTATGATTAAATTTAATTTTTCAGCTTTTCTAAAGAATATTATTATTTGAAAAACTTAAAGATGGATAATGTGCCATCATCAAAGCCAACTGCAAACTTAATTCCATCTGGGGAGATAGAGAGTGAACTAATACTTTAATTAAATCCATCAAGACAATAAAATTAAATTTAAAGCTCAACATTCCATATTCGAATAGTTTTGTCACTATTGCATGAAATCAAAATTTCTTCTTAACATGAAAACTCTAAAAGTAGTATGATAGATTCCTTATTTCCTATAATTTTAAAAAGCTGACATTATTCTAAAAGTTATTTTATAATTTCTATTGTATTACTCTTCTCAAAACTATAAGACAAATAAACATCTCTTTTGGAAGTTGTCATTTAAATTATGGGGCTATTATTATCTAGTATTATTTATTTTAATTTTTTATGTATATTGAAATCTATTATATCAATCTTTGTTTGTTCTAATTATTAATTTCTCATACATATAATTTTCTGACAATTAAAAATACAGAAAAATTAACCTTCATAAAAAGGCATATAATCTTTTGGATTGGATTTATTTTAAAAAATAGTAGCGATATAACTTATATCAAATTAAACCGTAAAAATTAGCATAACATCAGAAGTGATAAATACAATTAAAACTTACAATTCACTATTAAAACGATTTTTCCAATTTA